TAGACTTACTATCTATTTATCTATCCATCTATCTGCTATAGAGTATTGATACTTGGAGCAATTCTAAGACTTATGAACTATTTTAATTGATAGTTGCTATGGACACTTTCCATTTCTTTGCTTTATCGATATATATCGATAGGCACCTCTCTCTCTCTCTCGGCTTCATCCTTCGTGAAACCACCTTTCAATGCAAACAAACCAAGCCCACAATCTATTTGATGGACACGCCACCATCTCTAGCATTCCGCTCCTTATCACACGTCCTGGCCTGACCCTACGCCGGCTATAACAATGAGCATTTGTATTAATTTGTGCCATTTATTGACTTCCCGGTCCCGCTGACTATGATTAATACACTCGGCATTTTTGGGTGGCGGCCGAGGTAGAGCTAGAATCAGCTCGAACTGGCTAGCGGCCCATGAAGTAATTAAATTTCTCGTACAAACAATGTACATGGGTCTTTAATGGGTTAACAATTAGCCCATTGGTATGCGCCAGACATGGCTATCTGCCTAAGTGCTCCACTTCTCTGCCAATACATACATACATCGATATATAGATAGATATGTATATATGTATGTGTTAAAGCATTTAAATATTTGCCTAATTTTGCTTTAAAAATAAAGACTCTTACAGCATTTTTAGCACATTTTCAGCAGCTTTTCAGGTGGGGAGGTCGCACAGGGAGGCGGTAGGGAGTGGATGGGGCAGTCATTGCTTAGCCGCCCCATTTGTATTTATTATCAGCCATTCGTGTGTGTTTCTGTTTTTGTTTTCGTTTTCAGTTTGTTGCTGTGTTTACAACAACTTTTGCGCTGGCATTACGAATCGTAGCACTGATTATGCCCATCGACTATGATCTCTGGATAGAGCATATATACTACATAGATAGATAGATAGATAGATAGATGGACTCGTGATCCCAGCCACTCCAGCTGAATGAGTGCAAAAAACAGACATCGCCAGCAACATTTTGAATCTAAACAGCAGCGCAGAGTGAATACAACTTTTGGAATTCCAATTGGATTTGCTTATCTTAAAAACATATAGATATATGGAGAGATATACATGTATGCAGATATAACGGCGCTTACCTCACCGTAGGACAAAAACAATGCCCCAAACATTTTTGACCGCTCTTAAAATATATGAGTTATTTAAATTTTCATCAACTTAAGAGTTCTCCACAGCAACAGCAAAAATCAACCTAATTTGATTTCAATTGCTGTTTCCTTTGCGCTTTTTTCTTTCGCCAATTCGTAAAGGTTTTTCATAATTTTGATTGATTGTGCGTAGGTAGCGACAGAGAGAGAGAGAGAGAATGAGCGAAAATTGGGCGAAGCTGAGATTCTCGWGCTTCTCTCTAGGTAAAGGATGAGAAGAGGCGAACGGAAGGAAGTATACGAGCTTGTAAAGATAGGAGACTTTCTCTTCCATAGTATAGTTGACAGAGAAGGAATAGAGTAGGAATAGGTTAAGTAGGCGAAAGATGAGAAAGAAAAAGAATGAAAATATAACTGAAATAAATTAAAAGGAAGGCATCTTAAAAAGAATGTATAATGTGAGAAGTGAAAGAGAAAGGAGATAATGGAAAGAGATGAAGGGCTTCAAAGCAAACTCTTCGCTACTAGGTAAAGAAAGAAAGAAAGAAAGAGAGACAATGAGATGGAGAGAGAGAGAGAGAGAGAGAGAGAGAGAGAGAGAGAGAGTGAAAAAGGAAAAGGGAAAAGTTAGAAGAAAAGATGAAGAGATCTACTCATTCCTTTTTCTCTCAGTGTAAATTGGCTATTCAAGAATCAATTAGAGCAAATGAAACAGAAATTTGTTTTACTTAAAGTACTAAGTAGAGCCCCACTGCGCTAGCTTTTAAGTTCATTTCCTAGAAAAGGGTTTACAAAAATGTGTTCCATTTCCCACTCCCAGCTTTGCCGGCCTTGGGCCCCATTGAATTGGACTCTTGAAGGTATATTTAGTGCCAATTGGCATAGAACAGAGAACAGACGTCACAGACGGCGCGCACTTGTCGGGTCATTACGAAGGGGCTAGAGCGGAGGCATGGCTGGATGTGGGAGGGGGAGGGGCATAAAGGCTCTACAGAGCAAAGTAGAGGATCCCATAGCGAAGCACTCGACCCATAATCGACAAATTTGACAAGTTGTTTACACGGCCAGACCCCAAACAAAAGCAAAGGCAAAGGCGAAGGCAAAGACAAGAGCAACAAGAGAGTGGAAAGAGGAAAGCAACAACTACCTCGACCCGCTTTGACCCGATAACATTTCTCAAAAGTATTTCGGCTGTGCGAGCGTCAGTCTCTGCCTGTGTGTGTGTGCGTGTGTGTGTGTGTGTATTGGCATAAGTCGATCGTTTTCTTTATTCTTTATAGCTGTGCTTTCTATTTTGGTGGCACGCCAGCCTCGACGCCCGGCCGGCCCCTGTTAGCATTTGCCCGGTTGCATGCGAAAGCATTTGGTTTAATTATTCGAATTGGACATAAACAAAAGCAGCCAATCGGCATTGAAGGCAAGTTGAAGCGCTTTGCTGTTTGCTTATGGTCAAACGATAATTTGGCCCAGACTGTGAAACGTCAGGTGGCCCCGTTTCTAGGGTTCGCTCTAGACGACCCACGTCCCGCAGCTCCAGCGCAAGGCCAAGGCCGTGCCGCAGATGGCACTGAGGCGTCTACCGGCCACCTTATCTATAGCTCATCAATCACAGCGCAAACATTTCAATTGCTGGCAAATGTGTTGACAAACGTCAGCAGGCTCGACAGCCGTGGTCCGGGCCTTGCCGAGAGCCCATCCCGAGCGCCGCTTGTTTGTTCGCGCGTCTCGCAACCCCTTTTTGCCAAACGCCCGCACATTAGCAACACGTGTCAAGTGTTCGCTTGCCCGCGCTCCGCTGTCGCTCGGCTGCCGTAGTCTGCCTCCTTCGGCGTCGTTATTCGAGTTGCTGCTCGAGCATCTTACTCCTAGACCCGATGCGGACACCGCCTTCTCATTAACCCAGCTCCGATCTCCTTTACTTGTATAATGCCTGTAAAGATGCCCCCTCGCTTAGTCCCTCTCAGTCGTGGTCTCAGTTTCCTACCCCCTTGGCTCCCGTTTCGTTTGCTGAAGCGTCTCATTCTGTCTGTCGCCTCCCCTAATGCCTCTGCATCGCCTGCATCTTAGTCTTCAGCCCAGCTGCCATGCCTCGGAGGAAACGAGCAACTCTTGCCAACTGCACCCGCCCTCCCGCTCCGCGCTCCGGCCGCCTTCGCCTGCTTTCCCACTCGGCTGCACTTAATTACACTTTTATGGAGTCATCCGCTACGCCAACTCGCACCCATTGTTGTCGCAGTTGCATTTCGCTGACTTTGGCTTCCATTGCTGTCAGCTGAGTTATGAGCTGATGCAATTGCTGCAACAGCCATTCTAAGCTGCCCTCCCAGGCCCCTGCTCCATCATGTTGTCGCTCCCTAGTTGTTGTTGTTGTTGTTGTTCATGTGCCTTAACATTGTTTTAGACTTTTGTGAACCTCGTGGCTTCCACATGAGCTTGACTCACTTGACCCCAACGGCACTTGTGCTACCCTCGATATCGATAGATCTATCTATAGCCTGTCCATTAAATGGAATTCGAAATCTTTTGTTTCATTCTAAATAAAGACTTTGGCTCTTTAATTCCTTTGTTTCTGGCATTCCTGCTTTTGGCTTATTTAGTTTATTATAAATATGATTTTTATTTTGTTTATTATGGCAAGTATTTGCTATTCTCTTTTGTTATATTTATAAATAAAGTATTTCCACACTAAATATGCAAAATGTTTGAATTACTTTGCAGCTGCCCTGCTTGCGGCTCATCATAATAGGAAAGAGTTAGCTATCAGCAGCTGCCCTCTAGGCTAATTGACCCATCAATGTGAATTGCTTGACCAGCCATGGATCTGCCTTATGCTTTGAGAATATTTTGCTTTGATCGAGAGAGAGAGAGAGAACGGGAGAGAGAGAGACAGCGCGTTGTCTATGTCTTATCTCTATCATATTTTTTTTGCTCTCAGTTCTTTGTATCTATTTATTTCTTCTCTCACTGTATCGTTCTCTCTTTCTCTTTCTTTCTCTCTCTCTCTCTCTCTATCTCTCTCTATCTGTCTCGTTTCATTCAATCAGTTGCTTCTTAGGTTTCTATTTATTTCTTCCCTCACTGTATCTTTCTCTCTCTCTCTCCCTATCTCTCTCTCTATCTCTCTCTCCTTTCTCTCTCTTTTCATTCAATCAGTTGCCTCTTAGGTTTCTATTTATTTCTTCCCTCACTGTATCTTTCTCTCTCTCTCTCTCTCTATTTCTTTGTCTCTCTCTCTCTCTCTATCTGTCTCTTTTCATTCAATCAGTTGCTTCTTAAGTTTCTATGTAGTTCCTCCCTCACTGTATCTTTCTCTCTCTCTCTCTCTATCTCTTTGTCTCTCTCTCTCTCTCTCTATCTGTCTCGTTTCATTCAATCAGTTGCCTCTTAGGTTGGTTCTCGTTGTTTTGAATGTATCTCATTTTTCTATTTCTCTATCAAAAAGATGTTGGAGGGAGTCCAACCTCTTCTGTCTTACTCTGTCTTCTGTCTCTTTTTTCCCAGTTAATCAGTCTCTTTTTCTGGCTCAGATTTTTTTTTGCTTTTTTCTCTATATTCCTCCATTTCTCTATCTCACTTTCCATCTCTCTCCTTATCTTCCTCTGCCTTTATATATACATATACATACATATGTTTCCCTAATTCTCTCCCTCTTCAGCTTTACCTCTCAGGCAATCGCTCTTAATCATTTTCCTTAACCATCTACCTTTCTCTTTCTCTCTCAGTCTGGCTCAGGGTATGTAGATTATACTCCTGTCCTGGTGCTAGTGTTTGCTCACAATTTAATTCAAATTATTATTTTTTTTTTTACTTAATTTGTTTCTAAGAAAGAGGCCCAAAAGTTACCTCAGTAATGAGAAAGCTTAGAGAGCTTCAAGAACTTTTAGGGTATGCATATTTGATCAACTCTCCACCCACATGCGATTTATTTCCAATTGTTCATTGTACATTGTTTTTTTGTTCTCCCTCTCTCTCTCCCTCTCTTTTATGTGTTGTTGTTTTTTTTTTTTTTTTACATTTTGTTGGTTATCTTGTTTTTGCTGTAATTCGATTTTTGCTGCTCCTCTTGCCTGATTTACATTTATTTGTTTACCTTTGTTTGCTATTTATTTATGTGTCTCCTCCTTTTTCTGGCTTCCTTTTATCATACTCGTTAGTTAACTGAAATGAGAGAGTATATTGGTTTGCTTACACTTATTGCAATGGAATTTAAGACTTACCCAAACAACAGTTTGAATGTAATCGCTATAATGTTCAGAAATATCAATGGAATCTTGGCAACTGTGCGAATCGAGCGAATTATGAATAAGATCTGCTCCGTAGTGCTGGGCGGACCGAGCTCCTGTTGAACCATTTGTCGTCTCCAGCCAAATCTGGCCAGAAAGCGCTCCTCGTTCAAGATGCACACGGCATTCAGGCACAGCAGCGAGGCCTCAATCAGTGCCCACAGTGTAAACATTTTCACAGCTTGTCAAGGAAAATTATAAAAATGAATAATTGTTGATGTCCGTTTTAAAGTCACTTTGCCTGAATGAAGCAGTGTCTGAACTGAGATTTGAGATTAAATGATATTCTATGCCTGCTTAGTCTAGTCTCATGGAGTGCTGAGATTTTTCGATAGGCCTACTAAGGCCCAACTTATCGGGTATATTCACTACAGTTTTCGCGCAATCAGCTTTACAGATGAATGACACGCCTCTTAATCAGAATATATTTGCTAAATGAATATGAACAATATCAACATGTATTCCGATTCATATTCAAATATATTCCCATTATTGAATTTAATTTGAATATGGATATGCATTTCCATATGAATATGCAATCAGATTCATATTTATATTCATACTCAAAGAAATTATAAATATTGGAATGAATATTAAATCTAATATGAGTATGAATATGAATATCTACTGAGACTTATGTTAATATTCATACTCAATTATATTCAAATGAATGGATTTGAATAAAAATATTAATATGAATACGAAATTGCATTCAGATTCATGTTTCTATTCGTACCCAAAGATCGTATAAATATAAGAATGAATATGAATTCTAATATGAGTATGAATATGAATATTTACTGAGATTTATGTTAACATTCATACTCAAATATATTCAAATGAATGAATATGAATATATGTAAATATGAAATTGCATTCAGATTCATGTTAATACCCATACTCGAATACATTCCAATGAATGAATATGAATATAAATATGAATATAAAATCACATTCAGATTCATATTAATATTCATTCGAATATATTCCAATGAATGAATATGTATATGAATATGTATTTAACACTTACTCTATTGAATATAAGTATATTGTACCATGGATGAGTATTATGAAGTCGGTTACGCTCATTCACAACGTACTTACACATGTGTTTTTTTCTGGTTTTGCTATACTCATTTGGATTCGAGCAGCTGTCAGCACAGCTATCAAAAAGTCGCCCACATTGATGGCTTATCGATGGTGCGGAAAGTGTCTCCAAGTGTCATTCCCGGTGTTACACCTACTCGCACAGCCCCGCCCCTGCTGCTCGTGGGAGCATTTCACGGTCCATTGAGCCGTGGCCCAAATGTACTGTGCATAATTTTTATTAAAAACAATTTTATTGCATATTTTACATATTGACATTGGCATGTTCGCCTTATTCGCGCATATTCACAATTTGCGATACGCATCCAGCGTTCGGCGATTGCCCCCAATACAATTTTCCATTTCCCATTTCCCACTATCCATCTGGCGAAAATGCATCGTAAAAAATGCTCCGCATTAAATGCAATCGTTAAAAATGATAAATGTGCAATAGCCAAGTGCTGCGGAACTGGAACTGGAACTGGAACTGGTAATGGAATTGGCCAGACTGCCACTGGAACCAATTGTTCGAGTAAATTTGATTGTTACAAACAGCAATTCCATTTTCATTTCGATTTACATTTTCATCTTCAGTAATTATAATAAACAGATACAGATACAGATTGACTCGCTATGCTTACAGCTACAGTAGTCACTCGATATATATGAAAAAATATATGAGCTTAAAACAAAATTCGCTTAATGTATTTTTTCTTAACTTTCCCATACAATATCTTAGTTGAAGCCCGATGTTATTCTATATCAACTATATAAAATAGTGTTATATTTTAGTTGATCTCAATAGATTCTAATCTTACGGTAAAGGCCAATATCTCTATAAAATTTCAAGATCGTAGCTACTTGCAGTGCTGAGTTCACATAGGTTTTATGTCAAGTTAAGGGATGAATACCCCATACTAATTCTTTACCTCATATGCATAATTTGAAATAAAATTTCAGAGTTCTTCTAGTCAACTAAGTTATCTCATATAAGAATTTCAATGCAGGGTATTTCCCATCACAATTCACACTCAGTCGCACTAGCCTCCGACCTACTAGACAGTATGATTTATTTATAATCAAATCACAATCGAAGCTGTTGTTGATCTAAAATCTGAATGCTGAAAACTGCATTTTCCAATTTAGCAAATCAAAAATTAAATTGATAATTTACTCGACGTCTTCCAAAAGTATTTGACCTTCATTGTTTGGCAGCGACTTTTGCTTGATTTTTGTATATTTTATGAAATTTCTATATATTTTCAAAAGTTTTTATTTTTCCATACTGACTAAATAAACAGGGTATATTGTTTTTTGTATTGACAGCAGAAGACGTGACCGAGATCAGAAATACAATAATATATGTGTGTGAATACTGCTAGGCAGAAAGACTCTGAAGAGCTGGGTTGAGAAAGCTAAGTCCATATGCTCGCCTGCTTATCTGTGTATAATATACATATCTATAAACATTTTTATTGGATATCATATAATCCCATTTTCCTACTATCCATGAGAATCCACACTTGTTTCATTATACATATCTTGAACATATCAAAAAGGTGGACTAAACTCGTTTAGCCTAAAGACTTCCTTGATAAATGTTAAAATTAGTAATTTTAACCTAACATTGGAAGGAATTCCTTATATAAAATAGTATATAATCTTTGGTATATAGTCATATTAGAATGTCATAATTACGCTCTGAAAATTTTATAAATAATTGAAGTTCAATCATGCTCATCTATCATTGTGGGCATATATCATAGTGGTTCAGGGTATTCGCCAGTCAGGCACATCCGAGATTCTGACTTGTGTCTATTTTCTTCTGATTAACGCAAACAGTTCACTGTTTGTAAATATTATAGGGTGTGAGAAAAGATTGAAATAATTTACATTGGGATTTCAACTCGAAATGAAATACTCTATCAATGCATGGAAGTATTTGATTTTCTCTATATAACGCTATGTAATATTAATCAAAGAGATATCAATCTGATAAAATCTTCTTCTCTCTCTCTCTCTCTCTCTCTCTCTCTCTCTCTCTGTCTCTTTCTCTATTTCCCATCTGCAGCACTCTTAAGCCTGGGCATGGTCTCTGCACTGCTCTCGCTGTCGTCTGTGACGTGGGCCAGCATCACAGCCAGTGTGGAGCAGTCAAAGTCGGCCATCAAGGCCAGTGTTGGACAGCGCCAAGTGATGCTCAAGCTCAGCAGCAATGCCATGGAAAGTGAACTAGACACCGAGCTGAGTGCCATCGACACGGGCATACTGCTGCCCGACGACAAGGACAACTGCCCGGCGGGCTACTTCCACTGCAACACGACGGCGCAGTGTGTGCCGCAGCGCGCCAACTGCGACGGCAGGGTCGACTGCGACGATGACTCGGACGAGTGGAATTGCGTGAACAACTTTGAGGCAAAGTACTGGGATCATTTGTTTCGCAAGAACCCGTTCGGACGCCAGGGCATGGATGACAGACCGATTGGCGAGTGCTGTGAGTATTCAATACTCAATACAAGGTCAGAGTAATTAACATCAGCGGTGCCACTGGTACCAGCGGTGCATGTGGCGCCAGCCAGCGGACTCCCATCTGTATCTCCCGCACATTTTCATTCTCTTTCTGTCTCTATTATAATGATAGAAATTCGCATGTAAATTTTTTGCATTAAGTTTTCATGCGTTTAATTAAAAGACTCGAATGATAATTATCCTTGATGCGCACATCAAGTGTAATGGCCACAGTGAGGACTCCTTAAATGCAATTTCTCTTTCTTTGTTTACTTTTGACTCTCCTGCAGTTTGGCCGAATGCGAAGAACTTCAGCTGCCCATGTCGCGGCTACGAGATGCTCTGCCGTTTCCAACAGCTCACGGCGCTGCCACCCCAGCTGCCCAGCAACAATCTGGCAACGCTGTAAGTATCGGGTAACCCCCTTTAATGGATTTATTTGTGTTATGTGACAGGCTAAGAACTTGAGCTATGCAGCTGTTTGCTCAGCAATGCAACCCACTCAGCCTCAACTCATCTGGCAACGCCACACAGTGTTGGCTAACAACAAAAACTCATATGTATATTATGTATTGCTCTAAACTTGTTTATTACCAATTTCCCTCAGTGTATCTAGTATTTGTCTTAATTGCTGTTGATGGCACTTGAATTGATTCTCTCTCATCTCGTTCGGTTTCATTTCCAGCGACCTCACGGGCAACAGCTTTGGCCTCATCGACGCACAGTTCTTCAGCGCCCTGCCTGACGTGGAGAGTCTGTGAGTATTTGTAAAGGATATTAAGCTCGTTAAGTACATATTTGCTAAGAGAATCGAAATTCAAGCAGCGTCAGGCCAATTGCGAATGCAGCTCGAAATTTGTGAGTGGGTCCTTCGAAAAGTCGCCTATTAGCGTCCTTTGCTGTACTTAAAGCAGCCTCAGACATCCCATACAATGGCTGTGGAGCCTTGTAGAGCAGGAGGCAATGCGGGGAAGGGGAAGGGGAGGGGGAGGGGGAGGGGGAGGCTATGTTCTGGCATGGCAGACAGCTCGTATCGTGTTTTGCCGGCAGTTGCAGTTTATGTGAAGCTATGCTAAAGGACACTTCTCTACGAGCACGGCGCAAGCCGTAAAATCGCTTTAACATACGACGAAATGTGCCTCGCTTCGTTAACACTGCAAAAAATATGCAAAGCAATGCCCGAAAATGTAGCCACCAATGAAATTATGGGGAAGCTGTTATCAAATTTATTTACTGGAAGTGGAAATCTAATAGTATGTCTCGGAGCAGAGTACGAAACACGAGAGGGAGTGAGAGAGAGAGCGGGAATGGGGCAGAGCGTGGGAGAGAAGCGAGTAGAGCTTCGTAAGATAATATCTCTTGGAGTGTAACTGATTATTTGAAGAGCTACTCGAATTGAGGACTTCTTAAGAAATTAAAGATGTTTGGAGGCAAAGATTGAGAGAGAGAGAGAAATAGAGAGAGAGGAGAAGAAAGATGGAGCTCACTGCTGTAGGAGAGAATCCGAGAAATTTAAGCTGTAAGCTTTGGTCGAATGAACAGATTCTACGAGAGAGAAAGAGAAGGAAGAGGATAGGAGACTTGAAGTCCCTCTGCTTTTCGCTCAGTGTAGCTGCCGTCGATTCATTTGCTATGGTCTACATTGCC